CAAGGGAGACGCGGAGCCCGCTGGATAATAGTCCCGATGGTGGCGGCTGCCTCCAGGACTATGCCTGGCAATCCAGACGAAGGAAACTCTGAAAGAGTATTACTTATGGCTTGGGTGGTGAGTGAACCGTTACACAGCAAAATGGAATACAGCACTTGTCCGCCATTGCATATATTTACCACCAGGAATACATATTGATTGACTGTCCATTTGTCACCTATTTGTTACAGGATGGGGACAGTATGTTTCACTATCTAGGTGCAAGGCACCCTACATATATAACAAGACACGGAGGACCCAGCGATTTTTATTATTTCATCAAAATTAAGGTAGTTAATAGCCCGCATGTCGCGGTGAAGAAACCCCTTGGAGCAGGGCCCTGCCATCTCAATTACATTAAGGAAATGAACGGAGATTCTTCCATTACTGACTCTGTATCCATACAATATGGACATGTCCACTGTGATTCTACATATTTTCACCACCTACTCTTGCCTTAAACAATCATCTTTGCAATACCTTATCTGGTTATTATAGAGGCATCCGCATCCCAATATGTGTTTACAATTTTTCACCCACATTGCCTGCAAGGTTTATGGGTAATAATGTTATTGCCATTTGGTGCCTGTTATCAGCCATAATTGCCAAGTATGTTATACCTATATGGTACAATTTTTTGATACACCTCCTACCTGGTGGTGTAACTAATGTGTTGGTGCTGCAAATGTATTAGACAGGTATTTGTCACTAAATATGCAGTACATTACTACTAAGACAGGTATTGATGTTGCTTTTATGTGATTTTAGGACTGTCCTTGTATTATCTCATACTGAGATGATGGTGAATCAGGGTATTTACCTTAATTGTCCACATTTATATTGTGTCATAAAGCATAATTTTTGGAACTACTTTGAGTATCGCATTCTGTCCATAATGTAACCACTTTTTTTGTGAATGTCTTTTCATGGTTCTTTTTTTGTATACACAACTATAGCCCCTGCATGCAAGGGTGACTGCATAGGACAGGGCTAGAAAAAGGCGCCAACCTGAAACAGGAAACCTGGAAAATTGGTCATGCCACCATCTTCACCTGGAACATAGCCAAGGATTAAAAGATAAAGAAGCTGCATCTCAGTAAGTGAAAAAAGAGAAGAAGGCATTGCTCACTGGTTTACATTACCCCTAGAAATGTTTGCATAAAGTGTCATGGCCAGAGGTCAGGCTCAGAGACCAGTAGCTATAGCAGTAGAGGGGCTCCCACCAACCAACAGGATAGGTGAGCAAGCAGTTTGCACTGACAGATGACACAGGCTCACCTGAGGTGTGAAGTCAAAGCACTAGCTGTTGTTCACCAGAGCTCCTGATGAGTTTTGCTGCTGTCAGTACCAGGTCACGATTCTCAGGATCTCACCACCAAGACATCAGAGAGTTTGGGTCCAGTAGCAGATATGGTGGGTAGGGATCAAGCAAGGTGTAGTCATAAAACAAGCCAAAGGTCAGTAACAAGTGTTTAAAGGTTGGGACCAAGCAGAAGAGTAGCCAAGAACAAGCCAAAGGTCAATAACAAGTGGTAGCGAAGATACAGGCGGCAGCAGGAGTGACAAGAGCTAGATATTGGCTGGAGAGAGCACAATAATCTGGCAAACAGGAAGTGCATGGGAGGAGCAAAGAGTTCATGGTTCAGGACTAACAAGGTTCAAGGCAGAATCATTAAATGATTTGTCCAGAGAACTGTTGACAAGGAAGAAGAGACATTGCCCGACACAACAGAGGTTCAGATCCAGGCCCTGAAGTAAAGGTGTTGAGCAAATCACTTTTCCTATGAGTTTATGACATGTTCTTTACTACCTTTGAAGCCTTATGTCACCCTTCCTAATAATGTGATTTGCAGGAAGACAGGCTCAGTTGCTGAACAGTACTCAAAAAACTAACCATATAATTGTAAATTGAGAATTCAGTGATCACTGCCTATCCACATCATGTTTTATTACATCAGACCAAGCATGCTTTGCCTGTTTATCTATTATTGAAAAGATCAAAGTGTAGCAAGTAATCCTTGGAACCTAATCAGTACCAAGTACAGATGTGATTAAACTGAAAGTGCAAGGAACTGTTGGACTACCTATTAGTAGCCAAATTCTAATTTACAGTTTCTAGGGTGGGTTGAAAAATGACAGCACACATCTAAATGGCATTTTATATTTTGTTTGCCCAGATAAGTCCTAAGTGGGTAAAACACACCTGCCTAATGACACAGTTGGACATGCTCCAAACAATATACACAACATCAAATTATACAGTGTTGATAACAGAGCTAGTTGAAATGTTTAGCTGCAATACAACACTACCTACAGAGGTCTTTATTCCAAATTGGCACCAGTGTAAATGGGAGGTATATTTAGAGTATTACAGGTAATCATTTGTGTATACAGTATATAAAGACAATAATTTGATTTAATCTGTAATCTGCTCCGATCTTTCAATCATGAACTAGGTTCAGAAGTATAATTGTAGACTAAAAAGACTGGATTACATTTCCTAACAGTAGGTACAAGAACATACACAATCATTGCTTACAAAAAAAATATGTAAAATACTGAAAGTTTTACTGTGATTTTTGTTTCCCCATAAAGCAGGAGGGGAGGAGTTCTTCAGCAATTAACATCTCCCTTAACACATGTGGGTATTAATACTAGTTTATGTTGCTGGCACTTACATGAATTCAGAAAGGCACTTGAATGAGTGGATGTCTTCAACATTACTGAATAGGTCCAGGTCTCATGACTAACAATACTAGCTACTGTATATCATAGCCTGGTTAAATTAAAGACTTCACAGGCATTATAATATACAGTATATACAGTGCTGTGAAAAAGTATTTGCCCCTTCCTGATTTTTTATTTTTTTTGTCACACTTAAATAATTCAGATAATCAAATCTTAATATTAGATCAAGTAAATTCAAAATGCAGTTTTTAAATGATGATTTCATTTATTAAGGAAAAAAAGCTGTCCAAACCTGCCTGGCCCTATGTAAAAAGTAATTGCCCCCTAAACCTAATAACTGCTTGTGCTACCCTTGACAGCAACAACTGCACTCAAGCGTTTGTGATAATTGACAATGAGTATTTCACATCGCTGTGGAGGAATTTTGGCCCACTGTTCTCTGCAGAATTGTTTTAGTTCAGCCACATTGGAGGGTTTTAGAGCATGAACGGCATGTTTAAGGCCATGCCACAGCATCTCAATCAGATTTAAGTCCAGGCTTTGACTGGGCCACTCCAAAACCTTCATTTTTTTTTTTTTTTTTTAACAGAGGTGGACTTGCTGGTGTGTTTTTGATCATTGTCCTGCTGCATAACCCAAGTGCGCCTGAACTTGAGTTCACAAACTGATGGCTGGGCATTCTCCTTCAAGATTTTCTGGTAGAGCACAGAATTAATGGTTTTATCAATTATGGCAAGTTGTCCAAATTCTGAAGCTGCAAAGCAGCCCCAGACCATCAGACTACCACCACCATGTTTGACTGTTGGTATGATGTTCTTTTTATGAAATGCAGTGTTCGTTTTTACACCAGATGTAAAGTTCAATTTTTGTCTTATCAGTCCACAGAATATTTTCCCAAAAGCCTTGGGGATACTCAAGATGTTTTTGGCACATGTGAGATGAGCCTTTATGTTCTTTTTGGCTAGCACTTTTGCCTTGGAACTCTCCCATGGATACCATTTTTTTCTCTTTCTTATTGTTGAATCATGAACACTGACCCAAACAAAGGGAAGTGAGGCCTTTTCTTTAATTGTTGTGCTGGGTTCTTTTATGACCTCCTGGATGACTCTTTGTTGTGCTCTTGGAGTAATTTTGGTAAGCCAGCCACGCCTGGGAAGGTTTGGCACTGTTCCAAGTTTTCTCCATTTGTGGATAATGGCTCTCAAAGCTGTGCTTTGCTGGAGTCCCACAAGCCTTTGAAATTACTTTGTAACCCTTTCCAAGACTGACACATGTCAATTACATTGTTTCTCATCTGTTCTTGAATTTCTTTAGATTGCGGCATGATGTGTTGCTTTTTTAGATCTTTTATTGTGCTTCACTTTGTCAGACATCATCTATTTAAGTGATTTCTTGATTCAACGGGTCTGGCAGTAATCAGGCCTGGGTGTGGCAAGTAAAATTTAACTCCGCTTTCTAAAAAATAAGGTTAATCACAGTTCATTCATGATTTAGCAAGGGGGGGGGGATTATTGTTTTTACACAGGACCTGGCAGGTTTGGACAGCTTTTGTATCCTAATAAATGCAATCATCATTTAAAAACTGCATTTTATATTTACTTGGGTTATCTTTCTGTAATTTTAAAATTAGTTTAAAGATCTGAATCATTTAAGTGTGACAAATATACAAAAAAGGAAGGGGGCAAATACTTTTTACACACACACACTAACACACTAACACTATATATATATATATATTATATATATATATATATATATAGTATATATATATATATATATATATATATTAAATATATAAATATATATATATATATATATATATATATATATATATATATATATATATATAGGACATCACAGTGGCTAAATGGTTAGCATTTCTGCCTGGCAGTACTAGGCACGCTGGTTCGAATCCCAACCTCGGCACCACCTGCCAGGAGTTTGCATGTTCTCCCTGTGACTGCGTGGGTTTTCTCCGGGTCCTCCGGTTTCAAAGACATGCTCGTAGGTTAATTGGCTCCTGTCTAAACTGGCCCTAGTATGTATATGTATGAATGTGAGTTAGGGACTTTAGATTGTATGCTCATTGAGGGTTAGGGACCGATGTGAATGTACAATATATATTTGTAAAGCGCTGCGTAAATTGACGGTGCTATATAAGTACCTGAAATAAATAATATTGCCAAAAGTATTGGGAAACCCCTCCAAATCATTGAATTCAGGTGTTCCAATAACCTCCATGGCCATAGGTGTGTAAAATCAAGCAACTAGGCATGCAGACTGCTTCTGCAAACATTTGTGAAAAAATGGGTCGCTCTCAGGAGCTCAGTGAATTCAAGCTTGGTACCATGATAGGTTGCCACTTGAGCAATAAGTCCATCCATGAAATGTCCTTGCACTAAATATTCCAGGTCAACTATTAGTGGTATTATAACAAAGTGGAAGCAGCTGGGAACAACAGCAACTCAGCCACAAAGTGATAGGCCACATAAAATGAAAGAGCGGGGTCATGCTGAAACGCAAAGTGCGCAGAAGTTGACAACCATCTGCAGAGTCAATAGCTAAAGACCTCCAAACTTTGTGTGGCCTTCAGATTAGCACAACAACAGTGTGTATAGATCTTCATGGAATGGGTTTCCATGGCTGAGCAGCTGCATCCAAGCCTTACATCACTAAGTGCAATGCAAAGTGTTGGATGCAGTGGTGTAAAGCATACCATCACTGGACTCTAGAGCAGTGGAGACGTGTTCTCTGGAGTGATTAATCACGCTTCTCTGTCTGACAATCCGATGTACGTGTCTGGGTTTGGATGTTGCCTGGAGAACGTTACTTGCCTGACTGTATTGTGCCAAGTGTAAAGTTTGGTGGAGGGGGTGATTATGGTGTGGGGTTGTTTTTCAGGGGTTGGGCTTGGCCCCTTAGTTCCAGTGAGGGGAACTCTTAAGGTATCAGTATACCAAGACATTTTGGACAATTTCATGCTCCCAACTATGAGGAAATAGTTTGGGGATGGTCCTTTCCTGTTCCAACATGACTGCGCACCAGTGCACAAAGCAAGGTTCATAAAGACATGGATGAGCAAGCCTGGGGTGAAGGAACTTAACTGGCCTGCACATAGACCTGACCTCAACCCGATAGAACACCTTTGGAATGAATTGGAGTGGAGACTGTGAGCCAGGCCTTGCTTGACATCAGTGCCTGACCTCACAAATGTGCTTCTAGAAGAAGGGTCAAACATTCCCATAGACACACTCCTAAACCTTGTGGACAGCCTTCCCAGAAGAGTTGACGCTGTAATAGCTGCAGAGGGTGGGCCAACTCAGTATGGAACCCTACGGACTAGGACTGGGATGCCATTAAAGTTTATGTGTGTGTAAAGGTAGGCATCCAAATACTTTTGGCTATAATATCTACAGTTGCAAGAAAAAGTATGTGAACCCCTTGGGATTACGTGGAGTTTTGCATTATTTGGGCATAAAATGTGCCTTGAACGTCATCTAAGTCACAACAATAGAAGAACACACAGTCTGCTGAACATAATACTACACAAACATTAGATGTTGCCATGGTTTAATTGCACATAACATGTAAACATTCACAGTGCAGGGAGGAAAAAGTATGTGAGGCCCTAGCTTAATGACTTCTCCCAGAGCTAATTGGAGCCAGGAGTGAGCCAACCTTGACTCCAATCAGTGTGATGATATTGGATGTGTTGCTGACAGCTGTTCTGCCCTTAAAAAACACACACCTGTTTTGGGTTTACTGGTTTCAAGAAGCACTGTCTGATGTGAACCATGCCTCGCAGAAAAGAGCTCTCAGAAGAACTACAATCAAGAATTGTTGACTTGCATGAAGCTGGAAAGGGTTACAAAAGTATCTCCAAAAGCCTTGATGTTCATGTGTCCACGGTAAGACAGACTGTCTACAAATGGAGAAAGTTTAGCACTGTTGCTACTCTCCCTAGGCGTGGTCGTCCTGTAAAAATGACTGCAAGAGCACAGCGCAGAATGCTGCATGAGGTAAAGAAGAATCCCAGAGTGTCAGCTAAAGACCTACAGAAATCTCTGGCACATGCTAACATTTTTGTTGACATATCTACAATAAGGAAAACATTAAACAAGAATGGAGTACATGGAAGGACACCACGGAGGAAGCCATTGCTGTCCAAAAAGAATATTGCAGCACGTTTGAAGTTTGCAAAAGAGAACCTGGATGTTCCACAGCACTACTGGCAAAATATACTGTGGACAGATGAAACCAAGATTGAGTTGTTTGGGAAGAACACACAAACACTATGTGTGGAGAAAAAAAGGCACAGCACACCAACATCAAAACCTCATCCCCACTGTAAAACATGGCGGAGGAAGCATCATGATTTGGGGCTGCTTTGCTGCCTCAGGGCCTGGACAGATTGTTGTCATTGATGGGAAAATGAATTCCAGAGTTTATCAAGACATTTTGCAGGAAAAACGTACGACCATCTGTCCGCCAACTGAAGCTTCGCAGAGGATGGGTGATGCAACAGGACAATGACCCAAAGCGTACAAGTAATTCAACAAAACAATGGCTGCAACAGCACAGAATACGCCTTCTGGAGTGTCCCAGTCAGAGTCCTGACCTCAACCCGATTGAAATGCTGTGGCATGACCTTAAGAGAGCGATTCACACCAGACATCCCAAGAATATTGCTACACTAAAACAGTTTTGTGAAGAGGAGTGGTCCAAAATTACTCCAGATCGTTGTGCAGGTCTGATCTGCAACTACAGGAAACGTTTGATTGAGGTTATTGCTGCCAAAGGAGGGTCAACCAGTTATTAAGTCCAAAGGTTCACATATTTTTGCTGCCCTGCACTGTGAATGTTTACATGTTATGTGCAATTAAACCATGGCAACATCTAATGTTTGTGTAGTATTATGTTCAGCAGACTGTGTTCTTCTATTGTTGTGACTTAGATGACATTCAGAGCACATTTTATGCCCAATTCATGCAAAACTCCACGTAATCCCAAGGGGTTCACATACTTTTTCTTGCAACTGTATATATATATATATATATATATATATATATATATATATATATATATATATATATATATCTCCTGTATGTGTTTCTTTCTGAGCCCCCATTGAGCAATGATTATTTCTTTAGAAACATAAACAGCCAAAATATACCCACTATAATTTAAACAAATATTTTCTTCTTGGGTACAGTTAACCCTAAAAGGGTTATGTACACTCTAACAATGAACGTCTTTAATTGTGGTTCATTAACCTGATACCTTTCTGTGCTCTCTGCATGTGCTACACCCAGCACAGTTAGATTGTTCCCAGCCATATTTGAGGACTACAGAACCCCTATCCTCTGTGTTATGGAGCATAGGGCAGTGTGGTTATTGTAGTCCTGCCCTTTCATTACAAAATTGCTTCTTTGAAGGTAAAATACAGTGAATGAATGTTATCTATCTACAACAGGAAGCGTGTTACAGGCAGGATCCTCATGTTATAAAAAGGGTAACACATTTTTAAAAAGAAAACTAATGTAGTCAACCCATTTAGAGACTGGTGGGCTGCAATATTACATTTTTGTGCTCAATTTAAATGTTCTTTAAACTTATTGGGCAGGGGCGCATGCGCAGCCGGCTCCGGGATGGACACGTTCTGACTGAAGCTTTGTCCACCCGCTAGCTGTCAGCACGGCTCACGCCGACTCCAAGGCACATAACTCACCCCGTTGGTCACATCAGAGGGCAGATCCGATATACCGCTATGCTGCGCCGCAGAAAGGCTCCGGGACAGCCAGGGAAGCTTACCAGCTTCTTCCCTGCTGTCACATCACACATCCAAGATGGCGCCGGTGGCTCCTTAAACGGCCACACCACCTGTCAAACCCTGCATGACAGATCATGTGCGGAGCACAACAAAGCCCAGCAGCTGGATCCCAGGATCAGAACCTCTCTTTATCCAGGGGACCCTGGTGAGTCTTCTCCTCCTCTATCACCCACTACCAGTAGTCCAGCCAAATCCAGGCCCAGACTGGACACAGACCCCCTGACTGATTCTCAGCTACAGCCTCAGCCTCTCTCCTCACGCAGATATTACCTCACACTGCTACGCCATCTCTGATAGATTCCTTCCCTGCCACTGACCAACCTATCACCAAAATAAGCATGAAGAATATGCTTCTATCTTTACGTCAAACTATTCACAGCGACTTGACCACATCAATTCCCAAATCTCAAATGTGATACAGCAACAAGACCACCGACTGTGTCATATTGAAAATAAAAATGGGAGAAATGGTCATAGCGCATAATGACCTGATAGACACACATGCAGACCACAATACAGAGATTGAAAAAATAAACCTCAAATTAGCGGATTTAGAAGACCGATCCAGACGCAATAATATTAAGTTCAGGGGTATACCTGAAATATTACTAATGACGCATTGATCCCCTACATCTATCAACACATGAAACATCTCATGCCATCACTCTCGGATATAGAGGTAGCCATCGATCGTGCTCACAGGATACCCAAACCTTCGTTCCTCCCAGCTGCAATCCCCAGATATGTCCTGGCACGCATCCATTTTTATCACATAAAAGAAAAATTAATGGCAGCAGCAAGGAAACCCACCCCCCACTCCCACCATCACACGCAAACATCAAGCTTTTCGCTGATCTGTCAAAAACTACATTACTCAATCGCAAAAAGCTGATTACTATAACTAAAGCGCTCAGGAACCACGGAATAGGCTACCAATGGGGCTTCCCCACAAAATTGACCGTTAAACATCACAGTGCCATCTTCACAATCAAAACCTTAGAAGTGGTATAGACCTCCTGAAGACCTTTAATATAATATCTTCGGAACCACAACAATCCACCTCAGCTAATACACAGCAAATGGACGCTGAATGGTGAACGCTGAACATAAAGCCCTCAATCTAGATACACCACTATGTCTTGGGCATTATAATTTTGCCGCCTTTAGCTAGCGAACGGCCCTTTACCAAGTATTCACATGGTAGAACAGTTTTTTTGGTATGACCTAGTTTACGGCCGATACCTGCTCACACCCCCCAGTTTTACAGTAGCAAGATCCGCTACTCTTATGACTTGCATTTTTAGCAAGTTTTTCTTACCTATCCTTGCCTCCCTCCTTTCTTTCTCGCACCACCAATCGACTGATCAACTCCATCGTTCTGGAAATCTTACTTCAACAAGGAAAACAATATCCAACCAACGACAGACCCAAAAACGCACCATCCAATGCTCAGAAAGACATCATGATAAATGACTACGATCTATCCAACTCTCTCAACAACTACGAAAACACCCTACCTACTCAAGCAAACCACGTACTAACCAACAAAATGGTTAAGATATCCACGGTTAATGTACATGGCCTCAACTCCCCCTTCAAAAGATCGCTGCTCCAAAAATAATCACGCTCACTCCATGCTGATGTACTCCTCCTACAAGAAACCCATTTTGCATCAACCAAGACCCCCAAGTTTCATATCCATGGATACTCCCACCTATACATGGCAACAAACCCCCAAAAAAAAATGGAGTCATTACAGCCATAAAGGACTCTCTCCAATTCCTACACATCTCTGAAACAGCAGACCCTCAAGGTTGATATCACATCCTTATCTGCAAAATCAACAACATTCCCTATACATTGGTTAATGTATACGGTCCCAACAGCAATCAAATTCAATTC